GTCGGATAGCCAGAGAGTAGCGCAATGGGGTTAGAACTTACGTGGTAGACGGTCTTGTCGTCAAGGTACTTCTCAGGGATGACCTTCTTGATGATCTTCTCCTTGATCTCCTTGCGGAGCTGCTCGGTGGTGATGTCCTCAGCGTGCTGGGCAGAGACGACAATGGTGTCGACGCGCAGGGGAACAACGGCACCGTTGTCGTGCTTGTACTCGATGGTGACCTGGGTCTTGGTGTCGGGGCGGAGCCAGGGGAGGGTGCCGTCACGGCGGGCAGCAGACATGGCAGCGTTGAGCTTGTGGGCGAAGAGGAGGGTGAGGGGGAAGAGCTCAGGGGTCTCGTCGGTGGCGTATCCGAACATGATACCCTGGTCACCGGCACCGAGCTGCTCGAGGGCCTTCTCGTAGTGGAGACCCTGGGCGATATCGGGTGACTGCTGCTCGATGGCGACGAGCAGGTTAAGGGTCTTGTAGTCGAAGCCCTTGGCGGAGTCATCGTAGCCGATGTCCTTGACGGCGTCACGGACAACCTTCTGGTAGTCGAGCTTGGCCTTGGTGGTGATTTCACCGAAGACCATGATCATACCGGTCTTGGTGGCGGTCTCGCAAGCGACCTTGGAGAGGGGGTCCTCTCTCAGGCAGGCGTCGAGGATGGCATCGGAGACCTGATCGGCGATCTTGTCGGGGTGACCCTCACCGACAGACTCGGACTATCTCGGCAGTTAGCATGGGTGTTCGGCCTGAGGGGTTGTCGGCAATTAGCGACCAAAAGGGTTTGCTTACGGTGAAGAGGAAGTTGCCCTCGTTGAAGTGCTTGCGGCTGGCAATGCCGTTGCCGTTGACACCGTTGGTAGCAGACATCTTGGATAGATGTGTGGGAAGTGTGTATGTGAAAAGATGTGAAGAAGAGAAGAAAAAAGTTTTGAGAAGCTCGGTGCGGTGAAAAAATACCGACGCGGGGTTCCGAGGGGCTATGAAGACAGCAACGGGTAAAAGCTACTTCTGGATCCAATGGGTCAGCGGTTTGTCCTCTTTTCTCTGGGTCTGCGTGGAGGGGGAGGGAAGCTCAACGCAAAGTCAATTGCATACCTTTTGAGATGGAGAAGGGACACGGAGGAAGGTGAGGCTTGAGGATGTAGAAGGAGGAAAGAGTGCGAGGGAAGGAAGAGGAAGATGTGGCCGTTCGGGTTTTAAAAGAAACACAAGACGAGCGCGCGACCTGGGGATGGGGACTCTGGGACCCGACTTGGGACTTGGGATGGTGGCCGGTTGGGAAGAAATTCTCGCTCCTCACTTGCTCCTCTTGCTCCTGCTTGGTGCTCCTCTGTATCTGGATGTACCTTTTGCTCCGTACCGTACCTTGCCATAAGCTCAAGCGGATTTGAGGCACTATTCGTGGGAGACATTGGCCGAGGGCCGGACGGCAGGGAAGGTACCCACACCAGCATAGTAAATTACTGTGGTGGGAAGGTATATTCACCGGTCGACCCCTCCATCCCTATGTACCAGCCCTGTCGAGGGGGAGGGTCCAAAATTCTCCAGATTGCGCCATCCTCACGACTTCTCTCCCTTGACCGCCTTCACCTTTCGCAGCATATCTGTGACCTGTGTCAGTCAGGCACGCTCCCATTAGCAGAAAAGGCACCGTACGTGCCGTACCAAAACACTCTTCAGGCCACATTACAGCACTTCCGTGTACCGCTACGGCCACCTCTTGGTCGGTGAGTTGCGGTTCAACAAGATAGCGGGCATCCCACGGTACCGTGGATTCTGGAAGGGAGTAAAAGCTCGGATTTACACAGTCGCCAGGATGCGCACCTTAACGAGAGCAGCGGTGATCGTTCCCCGAGGGAGCTCGGGCTTCCTTCTGTTTCGTCCTTCCCATTTTTTCCCTAGTCCTTTTCTTTCCTCTTGGCCAAGGCCAGCACAAGCCCGATGGCGTTAAGAACCTTATCCTCGCCTCACAAACTACACAGTAAGGTGATAAGGTAGCTTCTATTGTGTGTAGGTAAGCAAAGTACGGGACATAAAAAGCAGGATGGCATCGCGCAATTGTTGTAGTCAAGCACGGGAGCTGAAACTCCCAACGGGAACTTTGCTGACCTGAGATTGTCTCCTTTGAGACTCTTCTAGTTCTGTCTCTCCTACCAATGCATTGTCAAGTTAATGACATTCCACGAGGCGTCCCTTTCTTCCTGGATAAGACACGCGAGTTGTTCGAGACTGGGCAATACAACCCCCTGTTCAAAGTTCGGAATGTCAACGGCACGCGCATACTTCTCGGCGACATTCCCATCCTCCATTCTTCCCATACGGTAGATATCTGAATGTGTCCTTAACATACAGCAGTGACTCCCTCGGCGTATCCCTCCTGCGAGGACTCGCATTCCGAACAAGACTGCGAAGCCACCCCTCCAATACCTCTGGAGACAAGTGAGAAACCCCCGCCGAAACAGGCTAATCCCAACTGGGAGCTACGCTGTATAACATCTGTAACGGGCCTGGTGAGAATATGCCCCTCCCGCGCTCTACACGTGCGAGCGGCATTGGCCCGTAATTCCGCAGCAAGCCGCCCGTCATTGTTCTCACTGTTGGAGCAAAATAGTCCATGGGAAGGGGAGGGGGGCCATCTCATTCGAGCTGGCATCCTGTTGTCTCTTATCGCAAGCTATCGCCGCCGCGAAGCAAATTTTTTAATTTTTTTTTTCTTCTCGTCGCTTGCCATCCTACATCCAACCCCCGGCACCGGCGCTGATATCACAGTGCAACCTTGTCGCATCCGATTTTTCTTCACCGCGTCACGTTGCTCAGCCCATCCAGTACCAGAGTTACATCACCCTCGCCCAAAGAGTCAAAGTGTAGCTTCTCTGATATCTTAGTAATAAGGTACCTGTCGGTACGGACACTCTTTTGTCTGGATCCTAAAGTGGCGCGCAAAGACAGGCGCTGCTGATCAACCGCGACCCTTGACGCGCGCCCGTTCCTGCATGGCGGGGTAATTTTTCATAGGCAAACGTCCATTCCTCTGCCCAAAAAGTCTGCGACAAGTGACTCTGCCGATCCAAGGCCACCACCACCATCTACCACCTACCCGAGCCGCTGAAGCTCCCGCCACTCCGACTCTGCTACACGATACCCAGACTCAGGCACTCGTCAGGAGAAAACACACACACACACAGCCTCTTGCTTAGCTCTGCCCTTACATATCTGCTCGCAAGTCTCAACCCACGAAACGAACCGCCCATCGTATTCTCCCTCCCACACGCCATCATGTCCAAGTACGGCGTCATGGTTATGGGCCCGGCCGGAGCCGGCAAGGTCAGTACTCCAAAGCCCAATACCCTTCTTCCGCTCCGTTACCCGGCCTCCGCGCGGCATCCAGGACCGCCGTCCCATCTCTTCGTCCCCGTTACGCCGGCCGGAGCGCCGGCTTACATCCCTCAAAAATGTCATCCGAAAAGCTAACATTCCCTTCGTCTCCGGCAAGTCCACCTTCTGCGCCTCCCTCATCACCCACCTGAACCTCAATCGCCGCTCCGCCTTCTACGTCAACCTCGACCCGGCCGCCGAGTCCTTCGAGCACGCGCCCGACCTCGACATCAAAGACCTCATCTCCCTCCACGACGCCATGGAAGAGGTCGGCCTCGGCCCCAACGGCGGCCTCATCTACTGCTTCGAGTTCCTCATGGAGAACCTCGACTTCCTCACAGAGGCCCTCGACAACCTCACAGAGGAGTACCTCATCATCTTTGACATGCCGGGCCAGATCGAGCTCTACACCCACATCCCCATCCTGCCCGCCCTCGCCCGCTTCCTCTCCCAGCCGGGCAGCCTCGACATCCGCCTCTGCGCCGCCTACCTCCTCGAAGCCACCTTCGTCGTCGACCGCGCCAAGTTCTTCGCCGGCACCTTGTCGGCAATGTCCGCCATGATCATGCTCGAGATCCCCCACATCAACGTCCTCTCCAAAATGGACCTCGTCAAGGACCAGGTCCGCAAAAAGGACCTCAAGCGGTTTCTCACGCCCGACACGGGCCTCCTCGACGACGATCCCATCTCCATCGCCGCCGCGGGGGGCGAGCCCGACGACGGCCGCGGCGAGGTGCACGACCGCGACCTCGTCATGCGCGGCCGGAGCTTCCAGAGGCTCAACCGCGCCGTCGCGGGCCTGATTGAGAGTTTCAGCATGGTCAACTACCTCAAGCTGGATAACACGGACGAGGACAGCGTCGGCGCGATCCTGAGCTACGTGGATGATATCATCCAGTACCACGAGGCGCAGGAGCCAAAGGAGCTCAAGGACGAGGAGTTTGACGAGCCGCAAGACGATTGAAGCTCGAAAATGCGTTGACATGGGATGCAAGAAGGGGCGGTTCTCTCAACTGTTCAGTGCTCGCGAATGCGCGGATCTCACTTGGCTGTGGTTGTGCCAGGCGCGCTCAACATGGATGGCATATCAACGAAAAAACAATAGGGCAAGGAGATATAGAAGGTTGCATAGCGTTGGCGTTGGCATTTATTTAATCCATTGACTCATTCATCATCGTCCGACAACATCATTGGCTCGTTATTCTGTCTGCCACTGTACCGTATACCATTTGCCTGCTTGACCGAGAGTCGCGACAGAGCATCTTGTCTTCAGTCCTCAAATATACGGTGCTTGTCCAGTCTCTTTAACCCCTCCCATGGCACTGAAGTCGTTCTCATGGCCTCGAGCCTTCTTGGTCAACGGTTCGAATGTAGCATCGAGTCCTGTTGCGTATGCCTCGTACAATTGTATCCCCCTTCTCCAAAAAATACAATCCACGTCTTCCTTCCCCGGGGTATATTCCACCATTCGATTCCCAGCGACCCTTCCCCAGACTTGCTCAGCCAAGTATCTTCTCGTCGTGTTTTACGCCGGGAACCTTTGTCCCGAGTATATCCAGTAGGTTAGGAAGCTTGTTCAAGGTCCGGATTTCTGTCGACTCTTCGAAACGAGTTCCCATTAGATCTGCCCCTCTTTACCGATATTTGTTACCCTGGATCTTCGTTTCCTCCTCATACCTCCGATACTCGCTCACCCACACATCCTTCGCAGCAGCCGCAAAGCCCACAACTTTCCCGCCCACAACGACAGCGTCTCTCGCCGTCTCAAAGACGCCCCTCTGCCACACGGCCGCGACAACGACAACAACACCGCCCCAAAATGCGAGCCGCAGCACCAGCGCCGTCCAAAACGCAACGACACGCCGGATCCAGTTGAGCACAATCACCGTGGCAGCCAGCAGCGCGAGCAGCACCGCGAAAGACACGAGCTCGGGCGACGAGTGTAAAAAGTCGAGCGTCGCGTCGACGGCGGGCGCGAGGTACGGGTACAGCTCGTCGAAGGCGCGGGAGGCGGCGGCTAGGGCGTGGCCTTTTAGCTGCTGGACGGGCGAGGACGGGTGGAGGGCATTTTTGTGGATGAAGTCGGCGGCGTCCGGGGGCAGGAGGGAGCGGAGGAGGAAGTTTGTGATCGACGGTTCGGCCATATTGGGTGGTTGTTGTCTTTCGGTGAGTTCTGTTGGAGACCTTCGGGGGGGGGGGGGGGGGGGGGGGGTGGTGTGTGGGGGGGGGGGGGGGGGGGAGGGGGGGGGGGGGTGGGGTGGGTGGGGGGGGGTGTGGGTTGGTGGGGGGGGGGGGTGGTGGTGTGTGGGGGGGGTGGTGGGGGGGGGCGGGGGGGGGGGGGGGGGGGGGGGGGGGGGGGGGGGGGGGGGGGGGCTTTCTTTCGGAATTTGGTGTAATCTGAGGGAATGGAGCAGTCGTAGATGTTTGTCGATACGTGTTGTTTCTTCCCTGGTACGTCTTTCTGCGGCTTCTCGCTTGCTGCTCGTATGTAGCTGTTCGTCTTTCGCTTTCGGTCGCGTGCGCGTGCGTACTTTTCGTTGTAGATGAGCGTGGCTCTTTTGATGCCCGACACTGGGATATACCCGAAAGAAAGGCAGAAGGAAAACTGGGTGAGGGTGTTGTTTTTTTCTTTGCGCTCAAAACCTAACCGACAATCATAACAACACAAATTAAAACGGTTGCGGTGAGGATGTGGTAGAGGGTCCTGTGTAGGTGGAGGAAGGAATGGAAATAGGCCAGGAAGGAAGGTGGAGTTGGACCCTTGGAACCTTGAGCGCAAGTAGAGCAAGCACGAGGCACAAGGCACAAGCACAAGCAAATGCGGTGTGCACTCGAGGTGTACTTGTTGTTGGTGCTGCTGTTTTCCGAGTGGGGAAGATGGAGGGACCACGCTAATTCGCGACGTTCGTTGTTCTCCAAGCATGTGGAAAGGGGAACGCACCGACACAATGACATCGAGACTGGGACACCAGCCACTAGTATCTCTTAGACAAGGCTTATTAGATCTCAATATTTTACTGTATCCAAAATTCAAAAAGGGAGCATCGATATGAATGGTAAGGTATTTGGAAAAATAATGAAAAAGAAAAAGATGAAAAAAAGGCATGACAGGAAAGTACGGGGTCCAAGTACGAGATCCCGAGTCCCTTCCCCTCGAGCTCCAATTCTGGATAACAAGCTCCAGATTCGACTTTGGAATAAGGTTCCTGGTCAGTCAGAAGTCTAGACTATCCCATATCTACGGAAATAGTGAGTATTTAGAGCAGTTCCTGCATGACCATACTATTATCCGTGTTGTCCATGTCAAGGAAATAATAATACTCAGAAGGCATAGCGATGCATGGTATTGCATAGTATTCTTGGACTAGGCTAAAGACTCGAATGGTAATCAGAAACCGTCCAGCTCTCTCTTCACATAATACACGTTCCCAGCACTGGTATTCTCAACAAAACGCTTCAGACGTCGAGTCTTCTTTGAACAAAGGAAAGGTGAGCAGCTTGAGCAAATGAATAGACGAGATACAAGAAGAGAAAAGTAACAGCTAGTACGTAGCTGTAAAAACGTACAAGAAGGGTATCGAAGTCGAGATAGGAAATGAATCGTCAACCGACGTGGGTTGCGTGGAAAATAACAAGCTTCTTCCGCCTAGCTCCGTTGCCTCCCTCAATCGCAGCCTCCCACTTTTCATTTGACATTATCAGTTATTCGTTTTGGACACCGGCGCTGGTGTCCTTGACCTGTTGCCGTCACTGCGCCTTGCAGCCTAGCCCCTACCACTGTTGAGACTCTAACGGATACAACAGATCATCGCGTTGAAAAGAACAATGAAACCATTATGAAGTTTCGCCCATACCCTCCAAGATCCGGCGAGCCGCATCGATGCGTCTTCTATACATCCGACTCTCCGAAGACGCCTTACCAGCCTCGCTCATGGCGAGCACGCACCTGCCGAGGCTGGCAACGAAGCGTTCGACAAGGATTTGGTCCTCCTTGGCCAGTGCTTCCATGGGTGCGAGCTGATCAGGTGTATGCATACTCTCTTTGTCACAAATGCTAGCGGTTTCGCTCATGAGAGCATCAGAAATCGTCTTCAGCTCCAGCTCGGGAGAACCTTGGGGCGTAAGGACACCGACGCTAACACGCGCCTTGCCCACCAACGGGAAGCTTCGGTTGGTACCCGTTGAGTCGAAGGAAGCAGTCGACGGACGGTGACCCATCGTTGCTTGAGTGCTCATGGGTCGACGGTAGACTGTGGAGCCAGCCCGCGCGCGTGTTCTCAGTTCCTCCAAAACGTCCTCGCCGCCCATGGTGCTACCAATCGTTGACCGCTTGGCAGTAGGAGGGCTCTCAGTGTGCTCACTGATTGGGCTGACGCTTGGCGGGGTGAGAATACCATGTCTCAAGTCCTCGCTCACGTCGTTTGTGCTGATTCTGCTGCCTCGCCCCGAGCGAGCCGTAGCAAAAGACTCAATCGTTGAAGTAGTGTCGCCGCTGCCTCTTCGATGGTGCGATCTCGGTCGAATTGACTCATCCGATGTCATCGGTCCGCGAGTTGTCTCGACGGAGCTTTCGGAACTGACGCTGCCCCGACGCTGTTGGCTCAGGTTGCCTAGTGCGCTGTGGAGGAAGAAGTGTTCGTAATCGAAAGCGTCTTCTCGATCTTCGTGGGACATAAAAGTCTGGACTGTATCGTGGTAAAGGGAGTCACCACTCTCGCTGTCGTATCCATCTCCCTCCTGGACCTGCACACTGTCTTCGAAGCCATCTTCAGTATGCATGTCAGAGATGTCATCGTCATCGTCAATTGCGTCATCCTGGCCCTTGTTTGCCTCCATAGCGTCGAGGGCCTTTTGTCTCTCTTCCAGTCGGATGGCCTCTTGGGCTGCGTCGTACTCGTCTACAACGGACTCGTTGTCTTCCATGATCGAGGGCTCCTGTAGTTCGACTAGTACATCGGATGGAAACCCCCGCTCTTGGACCAGCCCGTCGACACTGACTGCATCGGCGTTCCATGGGTTCTTGTCCGACGTAGCAGTCAAGGGCGGCGATTGCTCCTCTTGAGATTTGGCGTACCACTGATCGACCTGCGCATGAGTAAAGGGGCTTGGCGTTCGTAAGCTTTGCAGACTGCGCCGTCGCATTGTGTCCGCGCGCGCCTGCTCTCTCAAGGACGAGATCTTGCCTTTCAGGTCTTGTACCTGTCCCTTTAAGTCACGCATCTGCGCTACCGACGCCGAGCGCACCAATGGCCGATCACGACTCGAGGAACTGAGTGCCGGGCTCAGCAAGCTTTCACGTTTAGTGCTATCGCTTCCTGAGTGGAACTCTTGCGCGACTTCATCCTCGCCAAGAGGTTCCAGACCTATTTCCTGTGCTGCCTTGTATCGAGATTGGCCTTCCCCTCCAGAGTTCAGGCGCTCCAACGTAGCATCATGAACGTTCTTACGCACAGAATACGGTTGTCGATAGCCTCCAGCCGCTCCCATGGCGCTAGCGGACCTTCTTGGGATAGTGCCGTTGTTGCCTGCGTCGTAATTGAGAGACGTATCACTCAACATCCTTGCGTGCCCGTGAATAGAAGTCGGCGAAGCTGCGGATGAGGCAGGGCGCAAAATCGTGGGGGACGGGGTCGAATTATTCCCGTCAAACGAGGACATTGAAGGAGTTGAGATACTCAAAGAGCTTCGCGCTCTCGATAAGTTGCCTTCCATGGTCTGGAGATGTCAGCCTGCCTTCCTTACTGTTTCAGCGGGGTCAGAACTTACCGTCAGTCTCCGCTTGGCATTCGCCAGAATCTGCTCTGCTCGTCGGCTGATGAGTGCGGTCGAGTACCTATTGGGGTCGTCGAGGGATTCCCTGGGCGGTTGATGTATGGCATGTGCTTGATGCACAGATACATCTTCCGCATATGATTCTGCCACACTCTCTTCGTCATCGCCCTGGAAGTTGCTGTCGTCGACGCTTACGGTATCGTCAAAGTCTGCGAACATGGCATTCTGGTCTTGAGTGGTGGTGATGGTGCTTGTAGACTCTACGGAAGACCGGCGCGAACGCGTCGCTTGAGCCGCCCGCTTCTTCAAGCTCTCGAGCATCTTGGTGGGTGACTGTGGCTGTCGTGAATCGTCGCCGCTTCGATTATTGGGTCTGGACCAGATGACCGAAGTCGGGCGTGATCTTCTACCAGGTGTGCTCTCGGCCTCAGTGACCTCACCAATATCGGACAGCATAGTTCCATTCCCGTAGATTATTGGTGTCGTAGGAGTGATGGGCCCGGCGATATAGGCGCTTGGAGGGAATTGGAACTGCATGTTCATATCGACAGCATGCGAATTCTTCCACATTGTCAACGGAGAATGGGATCGGTCGGGAGAGGGCGAGCGATCGTAGTCGGGTAGAATCATGTCGGGATTCGTCAATGTAGGAGAAGCAGGCCGCGGGGGGTACGATGAGGTGGAGCTCGAGTGAGCATGGCCCGCGTGGGCGTTTAAAGTCTGAGTTGCCATTGTTTTTGATGGCAGAATCGGTTGCAAACGACTCAGGTTGCGTTTGTGCAGCCTCCTGCGCGTTGTATGATCTAAGCTGCAAGACGTTGATTGTCGTTGCAGCGGCCGTGGAGTCTAGCGACACAAAGCGAGTCGGTTCCCAACGGGGCTAGCTGCAATTAACCGGTAAACCTTCAGAGGCGCAAGAACCTCAATGGACAGTCACTCTTTGTAAACAATAAGCAACAGTCAGGACGAAGGCATCTGGGCAAAGTTTCGGGCAAAGTCAAAAACGCTGCCCACGTCTGCTTGGCCCGTGGCCCGTCCGGTCGTGATTCGGATGGATTAAGAGTTGGTTTCCAGGGTCGAGCTGGTTGTCAGGTTTACAATCAGACCAGATGAAGCTAAACGAGCTGCAAGCAAGTCGCGGAAGTTTTGGCGGGGTTCGAGGCAGAAGTGCAGGTTGATCGAGAAACGCCGGAGAGGTCGTCAAGAGGTGATTTGGTTGGGGCACTGCCGTAGATATGCGAGATTGCGTGGTGGCTTTTGCGGGCGCTGAGTGTAGAAAGCGTAGCAGCAAGTGGGAGTCCGTTTGCGGGAATAGAGACGTCGTTGGTCGTATGCAAGCGCATAGGTAGCAAACAGGCCGCCGTGTTCGGGG